AAGGACAGTCCCATTCTACAACAGTGGCATCATGCAATATTTGTCCTTTTGTGACTGGGAAATGAGGTGTTAAAACACCACATTGTGCCTTGATTCCTAAGACTATAGATAGAACATCCACACTCTGCGTTTATGACTTTTATCCCCTCTGGATATTTTATAGTATGGGAAGCCAATACTAAATATTTGTGTGTGTGTGTTTTTTTTTAGAGGCTTCGTCTTTATTCAAGACAAACCATGAACAATTGATGGATTTCTCCAATACTAAATATTTGTAATAAACTGAATGCTATTTCAGGATGTGGGGGAGGCATGGTTCAAGGTAGGATTCACCTTGAGACAAGAAGGCAATCCTTAAGGGTTTATTGGATTCTTGCATTGTACTTGCTGAACCCTTCCCTCCTGAGTCTGGAGGAAGGTTTTAAATAGACAGAGTTTGGCTTCATTTGCATTGAATTCTTTGATTCACTTCCTGATAATTTTCAATACAAATACAGGGAAGCTGGAATAGAGGAGGCCTTCAGGGAGGAGAACTGCTGGCCCACTGTTTTTCAAGGTCTCTGTTCTCTATCATTCCTGGTAGTATTGTCTCATTATTAATAATAAATTATGAAAATACTTTACTGTCTGGCTGTAACATAGTCTCACAGTGAGGTAGAAATGTTGTTCCACTCTCGACCTCAGTGAATATCTCGGGTTTGACCTATGAGTCCTGTAGGGTGTATAAAAATAGTTAATTACATACTGAATGTACCAGCACAGGGCAGATATTGAGAGATAGGACACCATTCACTGTATCCACAGGATATTGTGCTGTGCAAATTCTGTTATCTCCCGATGGTCCACCTCTGGCAACAGGCTGTCCCACAAGGACCACGTCCTTCTTACCTAGAGTCCCCTGTTGTTTATTGATGTCTCAGCTGCCCCAGGAGAACTCCTGTCACTCACAGGGTTCTTTTGCTGGAGTTCAGTGCTCTGACTCGTCCAGGCACAGTCACCAACCTTGAGCCCATCCAGATGCTTCTCTTTTTGGTGTTGTCTCCAGTGAAAGGAAAGCCTAAAGGAGTCGGAGAAAGCCTTCCCACACTCCTGGCAGCTGTAGGGCGTCTCCCCTGCGTGAGATCTCTCATGCCAAGTTAAACCTTTCTTGGTCTTGAAGGCCTTCTGGCACTCGCTGCACTGGAAGGGCTTCTCTCCAGTATGTGATCTCTGATGCACAGTGAGACCTGTCTTGGAGCGGAAGGCCTTCTGGCACTCACTGCAATGGAAGGGCTTTTCTCCAGTGTGTGATCTCTGATGCACAGTGAGATTTCTCTTGGAGCGGAAGGCCTTCTGGCACTCGCTGCAATTGAAGTGCTTTTCACCCGTGTGGATCTTGAGATGCGAGTTGAGGCCCGATTTCCGGCAGAAGGACTTGCCGCAGTCACTGCAGGAGAAGGGGAACTGGCCCGTGTGAAGGGTCTGATGAGTAGTGAGGCTTGACTTCTGTCTAAAGCCCTTGCCACAGTCCCCACACACATATGGCTTCTCCCCCGTGTGAATTCGCAGGTGGACGGTGAGGCTTGTTTTTATCTGGAAGCCCCGGCCACAATCCCTGCACACATAAGGTGTCTCTCCCGTGTGAGTTCTCTGGTGGACGATGAGACTCTTCTTATACTTCAAACGTTTGCCACACTCATTGCACAAGAAGGGCTTCTCACCACTGTGCGTCCGCTGGTGGGCAATGACATCACTCTTCATTCTGAAGGCTTTGCCGCATTTATCACAATGGTAGGGCTTCTCTCCTCTGTGGATTCTGTGGTGCATGGAGCGACTGTATTGCGTGGTGAATCCTTTCCCACACTCCCCACACACGTAGGGTTTCTCTCCAGTGTGAACCCGCTGGTGAATGGTGAGCCCTGACCTCCTGATGAATCCCTTCCCACACTCAGCACACGTGTGCGGTTTCTCTACCAAATGTGTCTTCTGATGGATGTTGAGCTGCTTTATCTGGAGAAAGGCTTTGCCACACTCCGCACATTTATAAGGCTTTTGTCCTGTATGTGTTGTGTGGTGATGGTCATGGAGCTTTAACTTGTTAAAGAAGGCTTCCCCACACAGACTGCATCGATAGGGCATCTGTCCTAAGTGTAGAAGCTGATGGTCAGTGAGGGTAGACTTTCTGTGGAAGGCTTTCCCACACTCGCTGCAGGCATGGGTCTTTTTAATCGTCTCAGGTTTCTTATACTTAACGGTTAGGGACTTGGTGGGGCTGCATTTCTGGCTCCTGGGGAATTGGATTTCATTACAAACTTGCTCACGGCCCACAGGAACCAAGGCTCTCTCGTCTTTGAGAGGCTCAGTGGAATTTTTTATGTCCTCACTTCTGATCTGCGTGATGGAGGATAAGCTTAAATTTGACTTCACACCTCTTTGACAGATGTCAAACATACTTTCCATCAAAGGAAGATGAACTGTCCACTGATGAGTGGTGTTTTCTGATGCAGGGTGTTTATAGGACTGTCTTGTTCTCTCAACTCTTCTTACATGTTTCAACCATCCAAGAGGATGTTCATCAACGTCCCAGGTTTCTACGAAAGAAGGGAACAAATCACCCTCCCTTACACTTGAACTGTTACGTATGTATTTATGAAAAATTGTTAGTGATATAAGGTAACTCTTCGGTGAAAAGCTGGTCAGAGCGTAAAAATAGTACCAGGAATATTGTACCTGGCATACAGACAAAAACCATATAAAATAAACTGAGTGAAGCTGAATATTAGAATATTAAATTTAATAGTAAACCAAATGATACTTTAAAGGTGTTTCTGAAGAGTCAACGTGGTTCTTAGTTTATATTAACTGAATCCCTCCCTCCTGAGATGAGCATAAAGAGGAACTTGGCCTTATCTGCAAAAGACTTCACCATGATACTAGGTTTTTCTTTTGTACTTCCTTATAATTTTGTCTACCTTCCTAATGATTTTCAATGAATACCCAGAGAGACATGGTTTGAGGCCTTCAGTCAAGGGAACGGCTGGCCCCCGTTTTTCATGCTCTCTCTTTTGTATCATTCCTTGTAGTTGGGCTCATTATTATATCTTGTCGTTATGTGCCGTCAAGTCGCTTATGAACTCATAGTGACCCTATGTACAACAGCCCTAAACCCTGCTCTATCCTGTGCCAACCGCACCGCCTCTGACACTCCCATCCCGATTACCCCAGTCACTGAGTCAATCCATC